GTGGAAAAAACAAAAGTAATAAAAATTTCGAGACAACCAACCCCAGTCACAATAAAGATAGACCAAAAACAACTGGAGAATGTGAAATGTTTTAAATATTTGGGTAGCATGTTAACAGATGATGGAAGGTGTACGTGTGAAATTTAAAATTAGGATTGCCATGGCAAAAGGTGCATTTAGCAAGAAGAAGAATCTTTTTACCAGCAAATTGGACTTAAATTTGAGGAAGAAACTAGTGAAATGCTACATTTGGAGCATAGCTCTGTATGGGGCTGAAACATGGACACTTAGGGCAGTAGATCAGAAACATCTGGAAAGTTTTGAAATGTGGTGTTGGAGAAGGATGGAGGAGATCAGTTGGACCGATTATGTGAGAAATGAAGAGGTGTTAATTAGAGTCAGTGAGCAGAGGAATATCCTACACGAAATAAGAAAACGGAAGGCTAATTGGATTGGTCATGTTTTACGCAGAAACTGCCTTCTAAAAGAAGTTATCGAAGGAAAGATAGAGGGGCGGATAGAAGTGACAAGAAGACGTAAGAAGATGCTGGATGACCTTGGGGACAGAAGAGGATACTGTCATTTGAAGGAGAAAGCTCTAGATTGCATTAAGTGGAGGAATTGTTTTGGAAGAGACTGTGGACCTGTCATCTGACAGAATACTGATGATGATGATGATGATGAGATCATGTGTGTAGAGTGTGTATAATAGTGGGCCTAGTTAGCTTCCTTGGGGCACCCCTGAGTGGATTGGTAGGCAGTTGGATGTTTCCTCATTTATTTTTACTTCGAAAAATTTTTCGCTTAAATATGACTTGAATAGGTTATAATAATTTGTTGGGAAGATTCTTTTTGTTTTGTAAAGTAAACCAAGATGCCAGACTGTCAAAAGCCTGGGCTATATCTAAAAATGCTGCTGTGTAGTATTGTTTGTTATTTAACGCGTTTGTTATGGTATTTGCTATGCGATAACTTGGTTGGTTGAGTGGGCCTGTCGAAAACCAAACTGGTGGTTTGGGATCCAAGTTTGTGGGTTTGATTCTTGGTTTATTTTGTTGAGTATTAGTTCTTCGAGGACTCTTGAAATTGTGGGTAGAAGGTTTTTTGGTCGGTAAGATGTGACGTTGGTTGGGTTTTTGCCTGGTTTCAAGATCATTATGATTTGGGCTATTTTGAGCGGACGAGGCCAATAGTCCAGTCAAGTATGTAGTTAAATATGTATAGGAGTTTTATTTGACCTTTGAGGGTTATGTGAAGAACATTTTCTACCAGGTAAAAATGAATGGCCTTCAACACCACAACACCCGCACAATGGACGCTGTGGCTTCGGTAATACCAAACACGCTTCAAGCAACATTGAACGAGGTCGAATATCGCCTGGATATTTGTCGTGGTATGAAGGAAACCACATTGAAATTTATTGATATATATAATGAGATAAAACTGATAGTTTTCCTTTGTAATGGTTTAACCCTTGTGTATATAATAAATGCTTTCTGAGATATAACTATTTTATTTTGGATACCATTCATCTGAATATTCTCTGTAATACCCCTTTCGGTATAAGGGCGAGTGCACACCAAGGAAACTCGCAACAGCAATTTCCGAGAATTCTAATCAGCCTGAGTTCTACACATGTTACCGAATGGAGCAGCGCAAATTGAGGAGACGGTAATTCAATTTGCGCTGCTCCATGAAAGGAAGATAACGTGTTCAGCTCAGGATGATAACTATTCTCGGAAATTGCGGTTGCCAGTTTCCTTGGTGTGCACTCACCCTAATAGTGAAGAAACTACCACAAGGCCAAATCGTTCGGTACCTCCTGGGCCTGAACATTAATTTATGTAGCTTTGAAGACGTACGCTTTTACTATTTTTTGCGTATTTCTTTTCGTGATACTTCATTAAGGGCCAAGGTACACCAAGGAAACTAGAAACCGCAATTTCCGAGAATTGTTATTAGCCTGAGTTTAACATATGTTATTAAATGGAGCAGCGAAAATTGAGGAAACTGCATTGCCGTTTCCTCAATTTGCGCTGCTCCATTCAACATGTTGTCAACTCAGGCTGATATCCATTCTTGGAAATTTCGGGTCTGTTGCGGTTGCCAGTTTCCTTAGTGAGCCCTCTTAACGAATTTTTAATAAGTTTAAGGTCTTTCATTCTGGTCCGTCACACTAACAAATTAACAATCAAGTTCCTTCCGTCAAATGTGTCACATTTGACGGAAGGAACTTGATTGTGAATTTTCAATGTTTATATTGCCAAGAGCATGTCTGTACTTAGTATTCCGTGGACATGTTGTCATTTATCTATGGTGTTACAGTTTTGCGCGGTTTTGCGACGTTTGCGACAGAGTTGTGTGCAGCCACTTTGAAATATTTCGTTGAATTATTAAGAACTTAAGAATCAGTAGTGCGATGAATGTTGTGTTTAGCGTGTTTGGCGAAATGATTGTGCATAATGACAGAAGTACGTATCGCCTGAAACTGTAAGTACCGCCTTTTCAGCTATATAGTAATTATAACAGTTTAGGAAGGAGAAGTTAAATATATATTTCTGTTAATTTCAAATTTCTATTTAATTTTCTTTGTTTTGTAGTTTGCCTCTTGTCTTGAGGTGGCAATGATATAGGAATGTTAGCTGTATCGTAGGATGCTTTAGTGCCTCTTGGTTGCAGTGGACTTACGATTTTCTTGATGTTATTTGGAGAAATAATTCAATCTGAGATGTATTTACCTGTACCGGAAAAACGCAGTCTCACTCTGTTGAATGTGGTTCTAACCATGAATGCAGTCTTCTCGGTTATAATGCCATTTAGTTCGTAGAGCAGACCGCGCAATATCTCAAGCGTTTGGTCGCTGGTTTCCCACCGCGGCGGCCCGGGTTCGATCCCGGGGTCTGGGCAAGTGGGATTGTGGTGGACAAAGTGGCGCTGGGGCAGTTTTTCTCCGAATACTACTGCCAATCTTCATTCCGCCAATTGCACCACAATCACCCTCATCTATCATCTGGGGCTGGTACAATAGGCCAAAAGTGGCCACTGTACAAGGGACCTAGTCCCACCCCACTAGCAATAAAAAAAATAGTTCGTAGAGCGCCAAGTGTTTCTGAGCAATATCTAACATCAATGTTCAGGATTTAAAGAGCAACTCAAACAAGAAATCAGCAGGTGAGGTGGCAGGTTCAACTAATCTCAGCTTGTGTCCTGTTTCTGGTGGTTTCTTTCTTGGCTTACTCTTTGTTCATGAAGATGGAGGTGATATGGTTCTTTGAAATATCAGGTTCCCTTTGAACTACACCGTGTTACAATGCAGAAGGCACAATCTTTCATAGTTACTGCAGTGAGAACCTCATATCCAACATGCATCTAGTGTTTACCATATTTGCATCATTACTTCTTATATGGAAGATGCACTGTTAATTTCTTTAGGGAAATGTTTTGTAGGAACCCAGAATATAGCAGTTTACTGTAATACTGATATTCTAATATCATCTATTAGTATGTTGGAAATGCTAAGTGAATATATCCAACATGGCTCTAGGGTTTACCATATTTTCATTGTTACTTCAAATAAGTAAGATACACTGTGACTTAGGGCCATATCTGAGGAAGGAAATCATTTTGTGAATCTAGAAATATAGCAGTTTACTGTAATACTGATATTCTGATGTTACCTATTAGAATGTTGGAAGTGATAATTGAATATCAGCTGAATGACAGCTGCTTCACAGCATTTTCTCACCTTAATATATAATTTCCTGACGAGTCTCTTGATTTAAGAACTTCATAAAATAAATACTCCATTGAGGCTAATTTTTAGAGGCCTTGGCTGAGTTATGTGCAAGTTAGAATTGTCTGTGGGTCAGTTTGGCTCTACATGAAGTCAGGAAGGTGAAGGTGTTCAGAATTGTCAGGTCTTAAGAGGTTCAGTTCCATGTTTGTCGTCGTATCAAGTGAATGTGTGTAATTCTGTCCCCATTGTCAGTTTGGCTGTAAGTATTTTGTAGTCTTGTAAGATTCTTATCTTTATATTATTTCCATGCTTGATACAGAAGTAGTCATTTATTGGCAGTTGTGCACATTTGTGTTTATCTGTTTAAATCATCTCTTGTCCTAGCATGAATATCATCATGATTCAGATGCTTGTTGGTAGATGGTTTGTGGCAGTTATTTTTTGCACGGTTTCTCTAGCAGCAGTTGACCTGTCAGATGATTGAATATTTTAGGTGATGAAAAGAAGTTATCCACATGTAGCTTATGCCCATGGCTTCCCACCTTTTTTGTTAATTGATTTACAGAATCTTGTGCTCCTGTGATGGCCATAGTTCAACATGTACTGTCGTTCCATAAGTAGATGTGTGTAGCCATACACGTTGTATAACTTGGTTGTGTTTTTGTTATGTGACGTGTTCGCTGGATAGCAGTTGCACTTAAGCAGTATGCCATGAAGATGTTTGGGGTGGAGCCCCAGTGACCCATTGTGTGTTGTATAAGTGGCAGGGTTGGAGACAGAGCCTTTTAATGCTGTGATGTATTGCTCTAATAAAAAGTTAATATTTCGGCAATTTTTTGTTTGAAATTTATGATTCAAAGGGCTGATGAGAAAGCAATTAATTCTTCGTAAACACATTTGACCCAATTTCACACCATAATTATGTGTTGTATGACTTATGAAATAATCACCTGCTATTTGTTTTCGATGCATGTTAACCGTTTCCTCTAATAATTTGTGGTTTCCATACACAGATTGAGAAATTAGGTAAAATGTGAAAGGAATAATTCAGGGAGTGTAACATGGTCTTTCCTTGAATCTGTAGGGAGTGCTCTGTATCACTGGACCTTATATGTATAGCTGGCCTCTATTTAGTCTCACACTCACAATGTTTATTGACAGGGTTGAAAAAGGTTTCACAACATTCAATAGCACACCAAATGACTCAGTCACTTGCAGGACCAGTGAACAGTTAATTCAAGCACCCGCTAGGTAGTCAGCCCAGTTTAGTACAGTTTGGTAATATTATATTGTAGCATCCTGTTGCACACTAATTAATTAATATCTTGGGGGTATGCAGTAGCGTAGTTGGTTGAGGCACTATGCTACAAGCTGGAAGGTCACGGGTTCAAGTTCTGATGAGGTCAATGGATTTTTTTCAGTTTACCTAATCCATCCGGCTGCACTATGGCCCTATGGTTGACTCAGCCTCTTAACAAAAATGAGTACCAAGAATTAATTAAATAATTTTCCTGGGGAGTAAAGCGCGGCCGGCGCGTAGGGCTGACAACCTTACAGCCATCTGTGAGATGATTGTCTAGATAATGTGGGACCCTCAACATCTCACAGATCCATGGGCCTTGATGGCCTGTTACAGAGATAGCTTTACTAATTAATATCTCTGATATTCCAACTTACATGCAACACTTCTTTAAAAATTTGTGTAAAAGTTACTACATATATACAGTGAGTCTTTGAAACCTATTTAAAACCACATTGTCCACTACCTTTCAACAGTCATTGGTCATCATGTGTTTTAAAACTGTTATGTGGAGATTGCTGTGCTTGCATTTTTGCTTCTAATGTTCTCTGTGTAGCCCCATCACACATTCTTTTTTGTGGTGGTGTGTCTCCACTTGTACTGTGTTGTGTGTTTAGACCATGGAAAACATGAATATGCAATGTGGGTTGTAATGTCTGTTGGCTTCACTGCCAGAAATTTCTACCATTTGAAGTATGCCTATAAGCATTCTTTTGTTACTTTCTGAACTATAACAGTCTTAAGTAAATTCATCCTTTCTGTTGGCTGCAACCTACACCCTTCGAAGATGGCTTTTAGCCTATGGAAGAGGCAATGATTGGGAGACATGTTCCTCCATACCTTCATCTGACTTTCACCTGACTACATGGTGTTATCCCAGAAGACAGAATACTTCTTCCCCTGATTAAACCCTTTGCATGCCACAAGCCAATTAGGGCTGTTCAGGGCGTTTTCAGTAGAACTGCCACAGATGATGGGATCAGGTTGATATTCTTCTCTTAGTACAGCATTTCTGCGAATACATGGCAACAAGTCTGATATTCAGAGGCATGGCACTGTTCACAGTAGAAAGGGAGGTCACTGCATTCCCCCCTGGTTCTCGTGTTGCATTCTCAGTATTCCCTAGATGGGTTGGGGTGCCCAGGCTTTGCATATATTCAAGGAAAGGCACAATCTCAACATAAGTATTTAATAAGAAACAGTAACAATTACAAAGATAATAACAAATACTAAAATCTTGCATTAATAAAATCAAAGATTCCTGTGTGCCCATGTGCTCAACCACCTTAGTAGATCACAGAAAACTCTCAACAGAAAATAAGCATATACATATAACAGGCACTTGACTTTCTAGCAACCTCCCAGCCTGAAATTATGACCACAATGTCATAACCTTTCCGAAATAAACCAGGTCCCAAGGTTCGCCGCATTAACAAGCCCTACAGCAACACAAAATTGGGCAACACCCATCAGTACAAATAATATTACATTTCAGCAGACTCACTTCACAGCAACCCCAAACAGAAATTATACATGTGTTCACGTGGCATGAGTTGGGTCCGCTCGTCCACCTAAACATGTCATTGACCGGTGACCGCTACGTTACACTGCTTGGTGACCATTTGCACCCTTTCATGGATTTCATGTATCCCCACAATGATGGGATATTCCAGCAGGACAATGCACCGTGTCATCGGGCCGGAGTTGTACAGAATTGGTTTGAGAAGCATTCTGGAGAGTTCCGACAAATGGGGTGGCCACCACGTTCGCCTGACATGAACCCAGTTGAGCATTTATGTGACATTGTGGAGAGGTCCTTTCACACCCAAAATCCTGCACCTACAAATACCAGGGAGCTGTGGGTGGCTATCCAGACGGCATGTCTCAATATCTCTTCAGAGGTCTTCCGTCCACTTGTGGAATTGATGCCACATCAAGTTGCTGCATTTTGCAGGGCTAGAGGGGGTCCTGCATGATACTAGGCACCTATCTTATGACTTTTGGCACTTCAGTGTATATAATATACCGTTGCCACCTATTCAAAATGGGGCAGTATGAAGCCTAAAGAAATCTCTATGTGAAGAACTGACAGAAATACCCTCATTCCTACAAAACTGCCTCTGTTTTAAACAGTCAGAGCAAGAGTCTGAACAGCATTTTGAATGCGCAGCCTGAACACAATTTGAACCCACCTCGGCTGACCCACAATAGACACAGTCCCAGCTTCGCATACCTGGATGAAGCTCTCTGTACATTCTACAATAGCTGGAGTTGGTGGGTAGGGTCACATGGTAAACCAGAATTGTGGGATTACGCAAAATAGGAAGTAGTGGAAGAGTTAGCTCAGTGGTGATAGGAAAAGAGGACACCCAGTTGTCCAACAGTGAAAACCAACTGAGCCGTATTGTAAACGTGGTTCAACATATAAGGCTTTCACATTATCTCCATCTCTGTTAATTTGAACATAATCTGCGAAGCTCTTGTGGGCTTTTCTGTGAAACTGCATTTATTCCCAAGCAGCCTTAGCATTTCTTGTAAGTAGCTCTGTGGCAGGGCTGGATAGTCAAAGGGCTAAAGTTTCCCCAGTTTTCTTAGCATTTCTAACAGGTAGTTCTGTGGCAGGGCTAGACAAAGGGTTAACGTTTCCTCAGTTTTGAGTTTAATTTCATCTTCATTGGATTATATAATTGGTAGTCCACTAGGATTCAATCTCATCATAGTATAAACCTCATTAAGTCTGTCACATTACAACAGTACAGTGTTCAAGGTTAAACTAGCTTTGCTACATGTTTCGGCTATTCATAACCATCATCAGGCAAATACACAATCATCATGTTTACACATTAGTGAACTGCAATAGTGTAGTAAATCTGGATTTTTTTTCTTGGCACTACAGCCCCAGTGGGCCTAGGGCTACCTCCATGAACTCCATTCACTTCGGTTTTTCTAGATCTTACACATACGGTAGGACTCCTTGGGCGAGTGATCAGCTCATCGCAAGGCCTCTACCTGTAGACAAACACAGAAAAATGCACACAAACATCCATGCCCTGAGTGGGATTCGAACCCACGATCCCGGCTTGCGAGCGAGCGAAGACGGTACATGCCTTAGACCGCTTGGCTACCGTGACCGGCAGTGAATCTGGATACTTGATAATTGTCATATTATGAAACATATGGTATAGAATTACAATGAAATATAAGCTATTATAAAATGAGTTTTGTTGTAAAATAAGGTTAAATCTATTCAAGCGATAGTCTATATCACGAAGTCAGTTGTTGCCATCTTGTATTTTCCCATGGACAATGGTATATTCTAGACTTTATATGATAAACTGTTTGGAGGCCCATGAAGTATAATTGTAACATTAATTGTTTGGTCGGTGCCTCATCGTACGATATATTTCTGCCTGTTTTGTAGGGAATATAGGTTGCAATCTGTATTATTCAGTGCAACTAGACAGAGAATTAGGCATGCTCTAGCCACATGTTATTACACAAGCTCAAATCATGAATCAGATGAAATCAAATCAGGCTGACTTGACATTCATCTTCCTCTAACAGATCATGTGAAATACAGTGTGTACCATGTTTTTCCCTTACCAGAGCCCGGATTTTGATGACATGTCATCTTTTTTTCCTTGTATCCTATGCAGTGCTCTTAAATATATAAATCTCGGATATGAGCTGCTGGTTACAGAAGTGTAAATTTTATAGGTAATTTTCTGTCATTTTTTTACATTTTCGGGTTTAAGGTCATTTTTTTGGTAAATTTTTGGGCTTTTAAGGGTATTTCTTGTCATTTTTGGCCATTTTAGGGAATTGTTCTTCATATGTTTTCTGAAATGTTTTCTCTTTCTCCTAAGAGCTCTCTACAAAGGCCATAGTATACAATAATAGGTTGTAATCCTGGCCCATCCTTCCCGTTCGTTTCATTGAAGTGCTGGTAATACATGTCATAAAACGGTACGACGATGACTACTCACACTGCAGCTTTTTGTACAAAGCAATTTGCTTAGCTACACATATTTCTAGTCAGAATCTCTTGCTTCATATGACGTTGTTCAGTAAAACTGCTTCTGTCTTCAGTTCCTCACCCCTGACCGTACAGATAAAGATACAGTTGATGAAAGGTTCTCGGTGAGAAAAGTTCAGTTCTGTGTTGCGCTAGAGTGATTAATTTTATCATGATGCCAAAAGCAAAGCCAACTAAATCGTGTCATTTAAAGCAATTTGTAGCTGAGTTTGGAGATGATATATTTTCAACTGACGGTGACATTTTATACTGCAAGATGTGTGACATAAAAGTAGCGGCAGAAAAAAGATTCACGGTACAACAACATATCGGCTGCGACAAGCATATACGAGCAGTGCAAATTTTGTACAGAAAGAAACCTGTGCAAATGTTACTGCAGCAGTGTTCATCTGGAGGTAGAAATAAGTCATCGGATTTTTTTTTCAGAGATCTGTGTGATGCTCAGGCGTCTGCATATATTCCATTGAGACCTGCGATACGAGGCTCACTACGTGACAGACGTCATCATTGGAACCCTGGAAATTGGCGGACCAGGTGAAGTGTTTCTGCTTACGAGTGAGATGCTAAAATCCGTTAATCATGCCACAATTTCTAAACTGTTCAACAGGTCAGTGTATCTACTGTGGCCAGAGTGTATACGACACGATGACATCTGGCTTTTTTTGACTGATGCACCACATATTTTGTAAAAGCAGGCAAGTCAATAAAGTCGTTTTATACGAAATTGGTGCGTGTTACTTGCCTAGCTCATGCACTGCATAGAGTGACAGAGGAAGTGAGATCAAAATTTCCTCAAGTGTAGAGGACAAAGAAGATTTTTGTCAAGGCTCCAGCTCGTAAAATGCATTTTAAGTCTATGGCTCCTGGTGTTCTACTGCCCCCTGAACCCGTCATTACAAGGTGGGGAATGTGGATTGATGCTGCAATTTACTATTGCGATCATTTTCAGGTAGTGAAATACATTGTAGATTCAGTGAAGACGGAGGATGTGAGGGCAATTGAAGCCCCTTAGGAACAGTTCTCGTGCATCGAAATGGAAGGACAGCTGGCCTTCATAAAGGCAAATTTCGGCTCCTTGACAGAAGGAATTCAGTGCTTGCAGGAGAAAGGAGCAATGCTAGAAGACTCACTCGCTCTGGTGAAAAAAATAGCCAGTAATTTGGAGAAAGTGTCAGGTGACATTGGTAAAATGGTGTCAAGAAAAATGAAGTGTTCTGGATAAGAACCCAGGTTATGAAACATTATGCAACATTTCTCGAATTCTGTCAGAGTCCTTCAGCGCTTTCAGCATCGAAGAACTTACTGCTAGTGATTTGGTACACTTCAAGTATGCTCCCATTGTGTCTGCAGATGTGGAAAAGAGATTCTCCAAGTACAAGAATGTGCTGTCGGACAACAGGCGCTCTCTCACTTTCGAGAATCTCCGCATGTTGACTGTCATCTATTGCAACTCTGAATGAGGTAAGACTTAAATGTTGGAATACATACCATTTATGTACATTTGATAAGCGTTCTAACATGATAGAAAAAATTGTATTAAAACATTTAGCTTCAAATTCAGTATTCCTTAATTTTCAACATGAAAACAAGGATGAACTTACAAGAGTAAAGATGAGTTCACTGTTGATGAAGATTAAAAATACATTTTAAAATAATTAGTAGATATTCTGACATGTTACATTTTTGGGTCATATTTTGGTCATTTTTCTGGATTTTTCAGTCATTCTATAGGTCATTTTTTAAATATTTTCAGGTCATCAGAATCTGGGCTCTGGCCCTTAACCATTAAGATGAGAAATACTGATTTAAAATTTGCGTTTATATTGTCAGAACATCAGTATTTGTTAATAGGTATAGCTAAGCAGCATTATGCTAGGTGAAGGGTAGACAAATTTAAGGAATGTAAAGGGTAGACAAATTTAAGGAATGTAAACCGATAACAGCCATCGACTCTGCAAATAAAGTTACCTTGTGCAAGTAAAGCATTTTGATGAAGAACATGAAGCCTAATTGCTTCAGCCCATTGGAAGCATACCTAGCAGTTGTACGCAGAATATAAGAGAACTGAACCAAACGCAGTGAACCCAGCTGGGTAATGTTGAATGGTTATGTGTTGCTCCAGTTGTGCATACGCTCAAAGTGTTGTATTCGGGAGAAGAACCAATTGACATTGGGGTGACAAGCCAGGAATTCTATTGTAAGTGTAAATCTTTGTAGCATACTGAAGTCATTTTACAGTCAACTCTCGATTATCCGGGATAATGGTGGGGTTGGAAATCACTATTAATCGAAAACCTGGTTAAGACAAATTTTATTAAAAGTAGTACTGTAATATTATATTTAAGCATCCTGTTGCACTCTACACGATAAATGATACAAACTCCGTCCTAAGTGCAAACAATATACATTTATATGTCTTTGATCTTGCTCTTTCTACACTACATGTTTCGGCCTCTATCGGCCATCATCAGGTGTATACTCTTAACGTTGCTGCCACACTGAACCCAGTCTAAAACTTAACATTTAAAAACACAATGTCACGTTCTTCGTATTATCAACATCTACATCGTTGATATGTGTCTGGTATGTAGATTATGTTGCACACGTCAAACCCGATATTCTTGTAGTAGCACTCTAAAAATCTTTAGTTATGATGTTTTTAAAATCTTTTAAAATTTACTCTAAATTTTAAATTTAAAATTTAAAATTCTTAGGGTTACTCGCCCTATGTCTAAGTGCTGGAGCGGCTAGTTCTTGTTTTCACACTGTACAGGTGTTAT